TGCCCTACAATGCCTTCAAACGCTATCACTTGTTGCGTTGTGCTTTTCAGCAGCTGGGTTTCTATTATCTGTCATCTCCTCTGTCCTCGGACACATTGCTGTGATGTTGTGAACACATTTTTCTAATGTTTTACACTTCATATAATCCATTCTCTCAGCGTGCTGGCTCTGAGGGGAGAGGTAATTGATGAGCCTCAGAGAGATCAGAGGGTCAATGTGGCTGAAAGGCCAAGCTCTCAATCACACACACACCAGAGCAAGCTCTCACTCACACACACACACACACACACACACACACACACACACACACACAGAGACATGCATGCATTTATATATTGCCTCTGCTCAACAAATTTAACATGGCATGTATGATTCAATCTTCTAGAACTCTGCTGTAGTTGAACCCTTACAGTGCTTCAGTACATCGACTGGTGTGAGGACCATCTGTGCCGGACATAACAGAACTCCCCCAAAAACATGTCCCACCAACCAACATATAGTGAAAAAAAGTGTCTGTGCATTGGCACAGAAGGCCCCAAAAGGTTTTCGAACACCTCATCTACACTTTAAAATGTATGAATGACATTTATTTGAAAGAAATATAGCACTTTTCAAGCAAAACGTTCTCAAAAATCAGATTTGCCTGGTTTTGAAAGATAAAACAATAGGTAGACTGTTTAAAATGGAGACAAAATGTAGTCAAGCAAATTTTATGGTTGTCAAACATTAGTGGGACATGTTAGTGTTTTGAATTACTGTACACCTTTGGTTACTCTGACTTTATACACTCACTAAAAATGATGTTAGCTGCTGTTAGAGTATGTACTGCTTTTGATGAAGAATTTGTTTGTTTGACTGTGGAAAAAGTATTTTATATTGACACAAAAGTAAATTTGTGTACTGTAGTATGAATATAATCCAGACATTTTGTATGTGCCGTGTTGCTATTGTCATGTGACCTACTATGTCAGCGGTGTCACTTTTCCATAACATTGAATACGTGTCTCCTGTGGCCTCATGGGATAGTAAAAAGCCAATCAGATACGTATTTCAGAATCAGTGGAACCTTACTGTTTTATGAATACGTCCTATTCATTACTCATTTGACATACTGCTTTTCGCATACTACATAAAAAAAGTAGGTTAGAAGTAATTAACCAACTTTTATTTTGGTAAAGTTAGTTCCAAGTAAAACTATAGCATCATTTGTTTGCAGATTGTGCTTAATTTGAATTTTTTATCTAATTATAAAAATGTCATACATTTCTTAATGTGATAGTTCCCCCAAAAATGAAAATGCTGTTATCGTTTACTCGCCCTCATATCGTTCCAGACCTGTATGACTTAATTTATTATGTGGAACATCAAAGAAGATATTTTGAAAAATGATGGCAACCAAACTGACCAATGACTTCCATTGTATGCACACAAAACACTTAAGACTTATTTCAAAATATAGTCTTTTTTGTTACACAGAAGAAAGAAAATCATAACGATTTAGAATGACATTAAGGTGCATGAGTAAATGATGAAAATGTACGTTTTGGTTTCCCTTTTAGTTGTCCAGTTTTTAAGGCCACTGTAAATGCTTATTCAGAAGTCAAATACTCTTGACAGTTTAATTATTGAATGATACAGACATGCTGAAATTGCATTTAACATTTTTTTTTTATCCCGTTAACATAAAACTACTTTGAGCACACTAATGTCTAAGTCCAACTAATCTGTCCATCAAACAGAAAAAAACATACACAAACCATTGTCACGCTGCCTATTTTTTGTATGTTTTACAAGTTGATCAAGCTGACAGTCAAGCTGTGTAAATTTAGTGTGTGTGTGTATGTGTGTGTTTGTCAAACGTAGGTTTTCTGGAAAATGCCCACTGGCTGTTATGCATTTTAAATCCTTATGTCATACATTATCTTACGCTAGCTGTTCAGGTTTCTGTTGGTGTTTTGGATGGCCTTTCTGCCATTGGTTGGCTGGTGTACCTGTCACATAGTCCTAGTGAGTGTGCATGTGTGTTTATTCTTCCCCTCTGTTAGTGTGGGGTAACCCGAAGTGTGTTTCCTTGTACAAATACACACAGCCGCCTCTGTTAGTCACTTGCCCTCTGTCTCACCCTCTTCACTGTGGTCCTGAACCCAGGAGCACTGCACAGCATCACCCAGCTGACGACAGCTACGTCATTCAGGGGTATACAAGCACACACAGATAAGGTGCACATATATAGGGTGGTAAATGTAAGTTGGTTGTGAAAATTGATCTCATCAACCCACCTTGTAAACACAAAACACATAGTTTTCTCTCTCTC